TCTGCTAGGCTACCCACTTTCTTAGGAATTTCACAAATGTCTTTTGTCACAACCCCACACAGGAAAGAATCATAGCAGCCACCCCTAAGGTGGGAGCGGAACAGTGCTGTCTGAGGTAGACATTCCACAGTGACATTCCCAGAATCAAAGGGTCTTTATAAAGCATAGGGCTGGAGAAGGAGCAGTTTAGCTCTTTGAAGGGATGACCAGGATCCTCTTGGGAAAGTTGAGACATCCTCAATCCTGTGTCTGGGCAGAGAGGCTGTGGGGTTAGATACAAAGGAGGGTAACTTTCTTTCTCTCTCTCTCTCTCTCTCTCCTTTTTCTGTGTCATCCTCTGGGTCAGTTTGTCTCAGTCTCCACATCTCTCTTGGCTTCAGCTTTCTCACTTGCCCTTTTCCATCAAACAACAGCCTGTTCCCTAGCCACCCTGACTTCCTTGGCTTCTTCACTGCTGGCTTAGGTTCATTCTGCTTTGGAAGGAGTGGGGGTTAGGAACTGGTGACTCTCTTCTTTTCCCAAGCCTCAAGTTCTCAGCCGCATGCTAGGCCCACTTTTGGGTGCATGATGAACCGGAAGTGGCACATGGGGGGAAATAAGGCAGTTAAGATAAAAGAGAATAAAAAGGAAGAATAGTTTGGGCTCGAGTAGGAGATAGGAAAGATTCCTAGAAAGGAGAGTATCCAAAGTTATCCAGGCAGTGAAAGGAGGGAGGGTCGCGCCCCGTCCAACCTAGCTGAGCTCCATCCTCTACTCGGTTTCCTGCCTCCCTTCTCAGCTTCCCCTCCTCTTTCTCTGAGATCACCCCCCACCGGGGCTTCTCTTTGTTAACTCATGTGAGCCCGCTGTGTCAACCTGTCTCAGCTTCTGTGCCTGCCTCTTCTGTCTGGGTCTCAGCGTCTGTCCCTGGGTCTTTATCCACTCTCCTATCTCTGGGTCTCCAGTGCACCCTCCCATCTTGGCCCTTTAGTGGGCGGTGCTCCTGGCTCCCAGAGCTGTTCTATTGGCCGAAAGGTGCCGAGGGGGTGGTGTCTAGTCAGTCTTCGAAGGCGGGATTAGTTGCTGCGGCCGTGGGGCGGGCGGGAGGTGGGTCCGGCCAGGAGGCGGGCGGGGCGCCCAGGGCCCGGCCCAGAGCTCCGGGCGGTCGCATTGTTTTCCTCCGCGGAGCCGCGGCGGGAGTAGGGCTGCAACTCAGACCCTGGGCTCTGCCTACTAGACAGCACTGGGCACCGAGATCCAAGCTCTACCAAATTCGGACGCTCCTTGCATCTTATCAGAGCACCATCCACGGATTGTGAACTCGAAGCAGCGCGGGGCCCCTGCCAATCCGCTTGAATCTCGATCTCACTGACCTGGATCTCTGAGCAAGTACCCCAGGCACCGCTGAGGCTGCAGGGAGGCGGGGAGGGACGGGGCGCCGCTGCCCAGGGACAACCCTCCAAAGTGTAGACAGGAGGGACTGGAAAGGGTGTCAGCGCGCCGTGCGCTGGCTGGTGGAGGGCCCGCGGAGTTGAGGTGTGTGGAGGGAGAGGGGGCCAGTGGCCGAACCCCAGCGCTACACTTTCGAGCGCAAGGTCTGGGCGCCTGTTCGTGCTGGGCTTTCGCTGGGTCGCGTCCCAATCCTGGAGCGCTAAAGGGGATTCTTTGAGGCGCGCATAGAGGCAAACCCTGTCGCTTCTCACCTTCCCACCACGGCAGTGAAACTAAGGCTACGAGAGCAGCTGAGAACCAGACCCTCTTAGTGCCCCTGAAAGAATGAGAAGGGGGGGCGCCTCGTTCCGGATCCTGGAGTCACGGCAGCTCTGTTGTCCTTGTGCTAGCGGGAATCTGAGCAATCCTCGGGGCTTCGGGCTTTGGCACGGAGTCAGGGAATGGGGTCTCCAGGAAACACTGATACCAGCTCCCCTCCTCTATCACCTTCTCAGCCCGGAGCTTTGTTAGATAGAGATGGCACAAGGAGGCGGGTCGAGCCTGCAACCGCGTCGCAAGCCCGCAGACCCCGCTCGGCGCTGGCCCCGGGCCCGCCCTCGTCGATCCTCAGCCTCTGGCCCTGTTTCTGTGGCCTCCGAGACCCGCCTCCGCTCTCCCACCCCCGCCCCATCCCCACTCGGTCTGCGCCTGCTGGCCCCTTCAGCCCCTCCTCCCGCTAACGTGGCTCTGGGACCCGGTCCCGGCCCAGACTGCTACCCTGCTAGCCGCCCCTCCTCGGAGCTCCGAGCCAGGGAGGGGGGAGACCCGTGGAGCCCCTGACTCCCCGGCTCTGGACGCCTGGCTTATCCTCCTTGGGGGTTTGGGTGTGAAGGTTGGTAGGTGCGGAGTCTACGGCTGAGAGCTAGGGGTGGGGGAAATGTCTTCGAGAAGAGAACGCGTTCAGGCGCCCCTTGGCACCCCCTGCCCTCCAGGAAGGTGGACTGACGGATTGGCGAGCGACCAGCGAGGGCTTCCTGCTATTGTCCCCAGCCTGGACTCCTTCTCTGTCCCTTCCCCAGTCCCTACCATACTCTGCCTTTGACCCGGCCACTCCCAAGAGGTGGCCATAGGGGCCTGGGAGGAGAGATGGGCTGTTTCCTCCTCCTACTGGGAGAGCAGTTCTGAGGAGAGAAAGGATGGCCAGGTCTCCCTTACTTCCTTCAAATTGGGAGTAAGAAGCAGCTGGCATTGATCCTAGAGCACTGAGAGCCTTTCTCCAGAGCAGGGGTGGGTCTTGGGCAGCCAGCTGCTGTTCCCCAAGAGCAGCTATGGTAAGCCCTTTTAAAGGTGTATCACAGTGGGAGGGAGGCAAGGCCAGGCCAACCTTGAGTTCTTAGAGGCCAGGTAATCCAGCCTGTGGTGGGGGTGGAGGAAGGAGACTAGATAGGAGGGTGCTCTCTCAGGGAAGAAGGTAGGGGCGGTGGGTGCTGCTATCAGAGCATTTTGCCTGGAAATGAAGAGCATGTAAATGAGATGCAAATTAGCCTCTATTGTCCCCAGCTAAGAAGGCGCTAGATTCTGAAGGTTTTAATGTGGGAGTGGTCGTTGTGCCCCATAAACACCTCCAGTCACCCCATTTCTCGATGCTGGTCCTCCAACTCTAGGACTTCCCAGTTAGGGACCAACCCTGGACCCAGACCTGGGTATGAATTGGCCCCACTTTTGTAACTAAACTCAGTGTCAGAGGCTTTCCAACTTCCAGGGAATTATCTTCCTTCCTTACCTTAGCCTCAGCAGACATTCCTAAATTTTCACATTTACTTTAAAGGGAAGTGATATGGGAGGTATAACTGCCTCTTCCCCTCTTCTGTCCCTTCTTCCATCAGGTCAGAGATCTCCTATTCCCCTCAGACCCCTAACGGAGTAACCACCCCAGGTAAGACAATGGCAACAATTCCTGAGGGCAGGGAATGGAAGCAGCTGTGACAAGGGAGCAGGAAGAGGGTCTAGCTGCTCTCCCCAATTGCCAGAGAACAAAGTTGTTTCCAAGGTGAAGATACCAGTTGCCCAGGGCAACTTGGGGGGGGCCGAAGGGGGAGACTAGGAGACAAGCTGTGTCCCTTTTTCTTCTCTTGGGAGCAACAGCATCCGGAAAAATGGTGGAGGGAGAGGGAGGGAGACTAGGGCCTCTCAACACCAGAGGGTCGTTAGCTGGCTGGCAGCTCAGCCCCTGGGGAGGGGGTCATCATTAGGTGTTCCTAACCCTTCCCCTCCTCCAGCTCTCCTGGGGCCCCCCTGACGTCAGCATCCCCACCAGTGACGCTGGATTGGGGGGGTGTATTTGGATTCTAGCTCAAGAGTGGAATTGTTGGGAACATGAGAGGGAGTTGGGCAGGGAACCCCAGAGCCTCTCCTTTAGGACACATGATGGGGGAGGGAACGGGTTAGCTGTTCACAGAAAGAAATGATTCTCACCCTTTATGACCTGATTTCCGGAGCCTACTCCTTTCAATTTCAGGGAAAGGCAGGAAGCTGGCAGACACCTCTTATTGTGGGTCTCAGCCTGGGTCAGCTGGCCGTAGAAAGCTGAAGGGTGGGAAAGATGCATGTCTAATCATCCCTTCCACCATATCCATATTTTCCTGGACTTTGGGCCACAATTGCCTGTCTGTCATTGAATTATTTATATTTCAATTGCAGCAGCAGCTTGATGAGGAAAAAAAGGGAAAGGGGCCATTTCCCTTCATCCATATAGCCCATTCTATTCCCAGCTCCTTATAGGGGGTGGGCCTATTCTTCCCCCCCCCAAGTACATACATTGGTTCTTAGGAGCCTGGGAATGAGCAAGGGGGCTAGAGAGGCTGGGAAGGGGCACAGTGGTCCGGGAGACAGCTGCAGCAGGGCTAAATTTAGCCTCTGATCTGACTTTGATGCAGATTCATTTTTGGCTAAGATAGCCCCCCTCCACACCCCCCTTTCCTAGCTTTTTCCCAGAAGTGGGAAGAACCCTGAAGCAGAAGCTTAGACTAGGGCAGTGAACCCCAAGCCGCCCCTTCCCCTAGATTCTTCATCAACCTTAGGGAGCAGCTACCTCACAGCTGCCTCTCCCTGGGCCTAGTGCCCTCATTGCTCCCAGCCTGCTGTGAGGGTCTGCAAGGGAGGGGCAGACAGACATGGTGCCCTCCTCCTCCCAGTGCCAAGGAGTCACTATTTATAATTTTAAGACTTCAGTGTCTAATTATAGCTGAGAAGGGGTTAGCAAGAGGGGGGCCAGGAGGTGTCACCTACCGAATGTCCCAGACCCAGTCAGAAGAGAGAAGGGTGAGTGAGAAGGCTGGGAGGGGGAGCGGGTGTGTCCTGTCCTTACCTGGGGTCATCACCAGCCATCCTCATACCAGCCAGTATGGGCCAGTTAGAACAGGAAGGGCCTTGAGTGATGGTGACAGCCGGCTTGGACTGAGGCAGTGCCAGGGAGAGCACTCTTTCCCTCACCCCACAGGGTCTTCTGGGGATAGACCAGAGAAGGCCTGCTCAAGTCAGGACTGAGGGAAACTTGGCTCCTCTCTCACTTTCCTCTGTCTTCCCTTCAGGGCCAGCATATGGGTGAGGGGGCACCCCCTGGGGCCTGAGCTGCCCCACACAGGATGCCCCGTGCCCCCTACTTCATGCCCTTGCTACTACTTCTGCTGCTGCTCTCACTGCCCCATACTCAGGCTGCCTTCCCCCAGGACCCCCTCCCTCTGCTGATCTCTGACCTGCAAGGTGAGTTTCCTGGTACCCTGTCCCCACTTCACTCAGTTATTACAGACTGAGATCTGTGTGAAAGGCTAGGTGCTGGAAGACCCTCAGGCTCAAACAAGTTAAGAGCCTGGCCAGCAGAGAGGAATAGGCAGGTAGAGTGCTGCACCACCGGCCACATCCCTGGGCTTAGTTTGGTCACTTAGAGGTTGTGTCATTTGGTGGCTTGGTTAAGAACATGACTCTCAGCTAGACCAAAGTTTAGCAACTTTGAATCTCTGCTAAACTTCTCACTACCTGTGTGACCTTGGTCAAGTTATTGCACTTCTTTTTGCCTTAGTTTCCTCATCTGCAAAATGAGAATAAAGGAGCCCTGGTGTCATAGTGTGTAATGTATTGCTAAGCGAGGGCTGGCAATTCAAATCCTCCACCTGCTCCTCAGGACAAAGATGGACATTCTCCTCCTGTAAATACAGCCTCAGAAGCCTAATTTTACTATGAGTTACTATGAATCAGAATCTACTTATTGACAATGGAGGGGTTGCTGGGTTTATTTTTTTTTTCATTTTGCCTGTTTTTTTCCTCTGCAAAATGAAAATAATAATAGATTGTTGTGGGGTTTTTGTGTTTTGTTTGTTTGTTTGTGTTTTTCACCTCATAGTGTTATTTAGGGATTAAGCGAGGTAATATGTGTAAAGTGCTAAGAACACTGCCTGGCACAAACTAAATGTTTTATATATATTTGCTATTATTATTACTAGCTACAAAATGAAACCCTGGAAACAGTTGAGAATTTTTCAACACCTCTTAACTCTCTTTGAACTGCTTATGCTACCAGCAAGCCTTGATTCCACCATGATAAAAATTATAAAACTATAATATCTGACTATAATCTTACCTGTTTGTAGAACCCAGTTATATATGCAGGATATAGAGTCATTTTGAGGATGAAGAAACTGCAGTTGGGTTATTGGAAGTAATTGTTAAGGGATATATAAGAATAGCAGTTATATGTGCCAGATGAAGTTCTAAGTACTTTATAAATAAATTTTAAATTGACTATCCCTGAACTCTAGGTTCGCTTATGAGATCTGATGACACTAGTTTTCATAATCAAGTCAGTTGTATGCTGGAGTTGGTTAGAGGAGGCAGAAATCTTAGAGAATCGGGGAAGGGAGGGTGGTGTGCGTACGGGTTGTCTTCAATGGTCTTGAATATAGAGAGCAATGCAGTGAGCAGATGTTGCAAGATAAAGACAGTTTACAGTGTAGTAGAGAAAGGAATTGCTGGCCCAAGAAATAATTGGATTTAGGTCTGGAATCAGAGCAACTTGGATGTGAATCCTGGTGCCTGCCTGCTACTTTTCAGGATGTCTGGCAGTGCAGTAGTTAAGTGCTAGGCTTCTAATCTGAAGACTTGCAGTTTGACTCCACCAGCCATCCAGGGGAGAAGCTGAGCAATCTGGATGTGTAAAGATTTACAGCCTTGGAAAACCCCCTGTTGTTATTGTTAGGTGTTGTTGAGTACAACCTACAGTGACCCTATGAACAACAGATGTGAACCCTGTTGTATCCTGTTCCATCTTCATAATTGCTGACTTACTTGAGGCCATTGCTACAGTCACCGTGTCAATCCATCTCGTTAAGGGTCTGGTCCTGCTCTGTTCTGTAGGGTCACTAGAGCCTGGATTTGATGGAAATAGGTTTTGGTTTTTGCCACTTTCATTCTAAATAAATTTATGCAAGTTCCCAAATGACTTTTCTTTTCACCTGTAATATGAAGTTAGTGTTAAAGCCTTCCTCACAGGGTTGTACCCTGCCTTGTCCTCAGCACCGTATTCCTCTGTCCTCTAGGTATCTCCCCATTATCCTGGTTCCGGGGGTTAGAGGAAGATGCTGTAGCTGCACAACTTGGGCTGGATTTTCAGAGGTTTTTGACCTTGAACCGGACCTTACTTGTGGCCGCCCGGTAAACTGGCCGAAGCATTGTTGTGGGGAAGACATGCATGCTCCTGGGCAGACATGGGACCTGCATGGCCACTGCAGCTTCTTGCAGGGGACACATGCAGGTGCACAAGCCATGGGACATGATATGCTTGGACCCCAAGCACAAATACCAAGGTGTAAAGGGGAGGGTAAAGGGCAGCAATTCTATACTGTTTGTCTTTGAGAAGCTGAACATTGTCAAGTGGGGAACTTAGGACCACAGCGGGGATGGGGGGAGGTGTTTGCTGTAGCTTGACTCTAATTCCTGTTTCCCTTACCCACCTACCCCTTCAGGGATCATGTTTTTTCCTTTGATCTTCAAACCCAAGAAGAAGGAAAGGGGCTAGTGCCCAATAAGGTAAGAGACTAGGCGGACATGGGGAAGGCATGAAAATGAAGCTGAGAAAGGTGTAATGGAGATTAAGTAGGTCAGAGGAAAATATCCAAAAGGAGCCATAATGTGAGGTGGGGTCCAGGTTGCCCTGTAATCCTCCCTTTTCTACTTTTACTCTTCAGTATCTAACCTGGAGGAGCCAGGATGTGGAGAACTGTGCTGTGCGGGGAAAGCTGACGGTGAGCAACGGCAAGAGAATTTCTGGAGAAAAAAGGTCTACCCTGCCTCCAGACTTTGTTCATGCAGTTTTCTACCCATCCTATTTCCCACCCATCTCTCTGATCCCAAGCTTCAGAGGAATGGAAAGGAAGAAAAGAGAATTCATGATTTTTTAGCTTCTTTTAAATACACCGCTCTCACACACATATACACAAAAACCTTGGGACATAGCTATTATTACTATCAGATAAGGAAAGTAAGGTTCAGAGAGGCCAAAAGAGTTGCCCTCAGCCACAGAGCTAGTCAGTGATGAGTTATGTGTCATAGAGTCCAAACTGACTCATAGCTGACCCTCCAGCATGAGAAGAAATTATCCATCTTTTTCCTTGCAGTTACTGGTGGATTTGAACCATTTGCCTTCAGTTTGCAGCACCACTCCTTACTAGGCTGCCAGAACTCTCTAATCAATGACTTAGTTGGGAATTTTATCTCCTAATGCTCTGATGAGCTCTACAGAAGCAGCCCTACTCTCTGTGGCCTGTGGTCCTAGTCCCAAGGGCTGACCTGGAATTTTTTTTGAGTTCTCTAGGATGAATGCTATAACTACATCCGTGTTCTCATTCCCTGGGATTCCCAGACGCTCTTTGCCTGTGGAACAAACTCCTTCAGTCCTGTGTGCCGCAGCTATGGGGTACAAAGGGGAAGATGGGAGGGTCATGGTGGAAATGCAGGGGAGGACTCAAAGTAGTTTGGTGGAAAGGGGGACCAGGATCTGAGGTGGGGAAATAGGAAGATCTAGAGAGAGGGAGGGGAAGGGAGGTAACAAGGATATGAGGAAGTAGGCTATGAGCTAGAATCTCAAGAGTTCTAAGAACATGGTCCCTCTTCCCCAGATAACTTCACTGCAGCAAGAGGGTGAGGAGCTGAGTGGGCAAGCTCGGTGCCCTTTTGATGCCACCCAGTCCAACGTGGCCATCTTTGCAGGTATGGCTCTCGGCATGTGGGGGGCAGGCATGTGGCTGGAGGGAGCTCTCACTTTAGCCCCTCTCATAAGTTGGTCTCTCTAAGCCCCTTAGGGCTTCAGTATAGGGTCCATGGTCAGGTCTAGATAAGATGTGGGAGGTCCAGAAGAGCCTTCTAATTTCACCCTACTTGTCCCTCCAGAGGGTAGTCTATACTCAGCCACAGCTGCAGATTTCCAGGCAAGTGATGCAGTAGTTTACAGAAGCCTTGGGCCTCAGCCCCCACTTCGCTCCGCCAAGTACGACTCCAAGTGGCTCCGAGGTCAGGGCAGGCCTTGGGATGGGTGGCTGCTGCTGGGGAGGAGGTGCAGGGTGAGGACCAGGGCAGGGAACAGGCAGATGGTGTGGGTGGTGTGCATATATATAAAGGAGAGAGGTTGTGTGGGGCCAAAAGTTCCTGAGCAGGTATAGATACTCTCCTTTCTCCCAATTCCGTCATTCCCTTCCTCAGAGCCTTACTTCGTCCATGCCTTGGAGCATGGAGACCATGTCTACTTTTTCTTCCGAGAGGTCTCTGTGGAGGATGCCCGACTAGGGAGGGTAAGGAGGTGGTCAATACGGGTGGGTAGCTGGAAGGTTTTGTTGGATACTCAGGAGCCAGTCTGAGTCAGGGAAGAGGCCTGGCTCTAAGTCTTTACAATACAATCCCCTAGACACTTGTAACACCCTCTGCACTCTGCCTTTACATCGTGCTGTCTCTGTCCTTGGGCCAGGTTGCCCCTCCAGACAACACACTTCTTTGCTGTAATCTGCTAGATTTGTTTCTTATCCTAATAACATTCCTGTCACTCAGCTGCTCCTGGGACTCTTCACTGTTGTTTTCTTCCTGCAATTCTCCTCCCCCCAGGTACAGTTCTCTCGTGTAGCTCGTGTGTGTAAGCGTGACATGGGTGGCTCACCTAGAGCCTTGGACCGTCATTGGACATCTTTTCTGAAGCTGCGGCTGAATTGCTCTGTCCCTGGGGACTCTACCTTCTACTTTGACGTCCTCCAGGCCATGACTGGGCCTGTGAACTTGCACGGCCGCTCTGCTCTCTTTGGGGTCTTCACCACCCAGACCAATAGGTTGGTACTCAGTACTCTGCTGACCAGTGTGGCCCAGACTATCCTCTGCCCTGCTAGTGTCCAAGCTTCCTTCTTAAATATGACTTAATGGAGACAGTTAGGGGAAGCTCTATTCCAAGTTGCTTTCCTGCCCACCTTGCTCCCAGCCTGGCTCCCTACCCTGTATCACCCTCCTAACATAGTGCCTAGAGGGTAACTCCTACTTACCTGGGAAGAGCTGTGCTGTCTCTTCCAACATCTAGCCTGCATCCTTTTCTGGCTCCCCTAGCATCCCTGGCTCTGCAGTCTGCGCCTTCTACCTGGATGATATTGAGCGTGGGTTTGAGGGCAAGTTCAAGGAGCAGAGAAGTCTGGATGGGGCCTGGACCCCTGTGTCTGAGGATAGGGTCCCCTCACCCAGGTACCTAGGATGGGATGGGTTTTGTGGGGCAGAAGTAAGCAGAGTCTGTTCATAAGATGGGATTGTGAGGCGGGTGGGTAAAGGGTCCAAGGCCTGGGGAGGAGACTCTAGTGGGTAAGGTCAGGCCCAAATCCAATCTTGAAGAGATGGATGATAAACTGGAGGGTTTCAACAGAGAAGTAAAGGTGTGAGTGTGTGTAGGAGGACCAGGTACAAAGGATACAATGAAGTAATCCAGTGTGGGGATGAGCCCGAGCCCAGGCTCCTGGCCCTAAAGCTGCCTCTTCCACATGCCCACCAGACCAGGGTCCTGTGCAGGAGTAGGTGGAGCTGCCTCATTCTCTTCTTCTCGAGACCTCCCTGATGATGTCCTGACTTTCATCAAGGCTCACCCCCTGTTGGACCCTGCTGTGCCACCTGCTACACATCAACCGCTGATCACTCTCACCAGCAGGTATGAGGCTAAAAGTCACTGACCACTGATCTCTTCTCCTCCTTCTCTCTGACCCATAAAATAAATTGTTTCAGTAGAAGGAATAACTTTGAAAACAAACAGGAGAAAACTAAGTAGGAAACACTGGGATGTCTGGGGATGCCCAAGAGGGATTGCAAGGGCACTTGGGCTTTCCTTGAGACACTCAGGCTTCTACATAATCTTCTGTTTTCCCTGACCTGAGGCCTTTCCCTGCAGAGCCCTACTTACTCAGGTAGCTGTGGATGGGATGGCAGGTCCTCACAGTAACATCACAGTCCTGTTCCTTGGCTCCAATGATGGGACTGTGCTGAAGGTGCTGCCTCCAGGGGGACCATCTGAAGGGACGGAGCCTATCCTATTGGAAGAGATTGATGCCTACAGTCCCTCCCGGTGAGGCTTTTGGAGGCCAGGAGCGAGATGGGAGATGGCTGATAAGGTGGTGGGTATGGGCTGGGAACTCTGACATAGGCTTCTAGAATGGATTAGAGACCGAGAACACTGGACATTGGGGGGTGGGGGGGGCAAGTGGCTATGGCCTATGGATTGTGCTCAGCTGCTTGTTCTCCAGCTCACCTGCCCATCTGTGATTCCTTCTGTTTCACTCCAGGTGCAGCGGGAAGCGGTCAGCCCAAACAGCTCGGCGGGTTCTAGGACTTGAACTAGACCCTGAGGGTCACAGGCTTTTTGTGGCTTTTTCTGGCTGTATTATCTACCTCCCTCTCAGCCGTTGTACCCGACATGGGGCCTGTCGAAGGTGAGAGAGGCTTGAGGCAAGGCCCTTCTTGGGAAAGCTTCCTGTACCTCCTGGAAATAAAGGCCTTTGGGGAGAGGAAGATAGTTAGGGGGAGCGAAGTTTATTTCTCAAGCTTTTTGAAGATTGGCAGCAATCAGGATATGAATAGGAATTGAAGTAGATGGGATAGGAGTGAAGGGCTAGCAGCCTTGTACAGGTCAGGGTGAGAATGAGAGGCAGTGGAATGTGATTCGCATGGCTAGAGTCCCGAAGGTCCCAGCTTCACATGGCTCTTTTTCCTAGGAGCTGTCTGGCTTCTCAGGACCCATACTGTGGATGGCATAGCTCCCGAGGCTGTGTGGACATCAGGGGACCTGGTGGGTAAGTGAGGGTTCTTGGATTTCCTGAGGAGAAAGGTCCCATCACTAAGAAGCTAAAGGCCGGGGTCAGGGAATGGGAGCAAGACATCTCACTGCTCTGAGCCACCTCCTTTTCTTCCTAGGACTGATGTAGATCGTGTTGGGGACCGGGAAGTCCTGGTAGATGGTGACTGCCAAGGTAAACAAAAGGAGTGGCTACAGATGTAGCCATAGTAGCACATGGCACTGTTGGCCAGTGTCTCTGTTATCTAGTGCTGCTATAACAAACATTACATGTGTTCATGTGGGTTGATTTAACAAAATTAACTTTTTAGACTTCAGGAGGTTAGAAATCTGAATTCAGAGTGCCAGCTCTGAGAAAAGGCTTTTTCTCTCTGTTGGTTCAGGAGGAAGATCTTTGTTTCTTTGGGCTTCTGGGTGATCTTCATGCATCAAGACATTTCTCTTGCCCTATCTTCTTGTTACATGTGATCTTATATTTTTTAAAATTTTTTTAGTTTTTTGTTTTTAATTTTATTATTTTTTGTGCATGTACCATCAAATCGGATCTGACTGGTACAGGAGGAGATTGTCCCTCCTTCTCCAGCAGAGCATCTGGTGGATTCAAACCACACATCTCTGGGATTGCAGTGCAGCTTTTTGCCACTAGGCCACCAGGGCTCCCTAATAATCTTATATTTTTAAAGAGATTGATTCAAAATACACGTTAAAGTGATCCTGTCTTATTAAAGTAACTAAGACAACCCATTCCCATATGGGATTGTAACCACTAACAAGTATTTACAACACACATTTTGGGGGGAGAGTTCAATTCAAAATACCATCCTAGTTGTGAACTCTTATCTTTCTCTCCTGTGACACCCCAACAGTCATCCCCAACAGTTCTTCATGAAGCTTTCCCCTTCCCCTGTCTTCCTCTCCTTACCCTTCATAGATGGAGCTACTGGGAGTCAATCTGGCCCAGGGGATTCTGCTTATGGTAAGTCTTCTTGTCTAAAATTCTCCTTCTCACCTTCCAGCCTCCCAAGTTTGTGTCCCATCGTGACAGTACACTAGCACCCTGCACACCCTGAAAGAACCTAAGAAAAGGGTCACTACCATCCAGGCGTGGCTTGCATATAGTAGGGTGCTTAATAAATAGCTTTGGGAACAAAATGGATGAATCTCCTGCATGGTGATACCCTTCCTCACACTTAACAAGAGTAGAAGCTGGAGTTCAAGACCCCTGGGTTCAGGGGTGGGGGAGGGAGGACTCCTGCATGAGTGTCTGGGGTAGAAAGCATGAGCCTCATTGGCTCTGACCTGGTCTCTGTCATCAGTGCTTCTGGGTCCTGGCCCTTCCCCCGAGACCCCCAGCCCCCTCAGTGATGCCCAACCCCGGCCCCAGTCTTCCACTCTTGGAGCTCACACTCAGGGTAAGGGGGCTGGCTGGGAGGGATAGAGTGAGGTGTGCGGCTTCTGACTCTGGGAGGATTCTAAGGCCCTCACTGGCTGGTTTGCTGTGTCCACTAACGCCTGCTGAGAGCCACTCCTTCTGGGACAGATCCTAGCATCTCAGCCCCACCTCCTGCTGCGGCGGAGTTTGGCATGGCTACCGGACAAGAGCTTGGTGGGGGACTCCCGCGGGCCCAAACTCAAGCCTGCGTGCGAGGCAGTGTTAATAAGGGGCTGTGTGTGGGGGGCGGAGACGGGGAGTGGTTCCCGAGGTAGGTCACTGAGGCGCTAAAGCAACCCCAGAGGTTAGGTTTCCATCCTTGCCGTTGCGCCCTCTAGACCCGGCACCAGCGGGCACTACCTCCCCCCGCTGAGCCTCCCTCCTCCCTCTCGGTCGGCAGGCGTGCGCCGGGACCTCCCCGCTGCCTCGGCCTCCCGTTCCATTCCCATCCCACTCCTCCTGGCCAGTGTGGCCGCCGCCTTCGCCCTGGGCGCCTCGGCCTCTGCCCTCCTGGTCTCCTGCGCCTGTCGCCGCACCCACCGACATCGGAGCAAGGACATCGAGACCCCAGGGCTCCCGCGCCCTCTCTCCCTCCGCAGTTTGGCCCGGCTCCACGGCGGGGGCCCAGACCCCCCACCGCCGTCCAAGGACGGAGAAGCGGCACAGACACCCCAGCTCTACACCACTTTCCTGCCTCCCCCCGACGGCGTGCCCCCACCGGAGCTGGCCTGCTTGCCCACCCCGGAGTCCACCCCAGAGCTGCCCGCCAAGCACCTCCGCGCAGCCGGGGGGCCCTGGGAATGGAACCAGAATGGCAACAACGCCAAGGAGGGGCCCGGGCGCGCCCGGGTCGGGAATCCGGCAGGCGGCCCCGCGCCGCGTGTGCTGGTGAGGCCGCCGCCGCCCGGCTGCCCGGGGCAGGCCGTGGAGGTCACCACCCTGGAGGAACTGCTGCGCTACCTGCACGGGCCGCAGGCGTCCAGGAAGGGGGCTGAGCCCCCGCCGCCCGTCCCCTTCGCCTCCAGGCCGCTCCCGCCCGAGCCTGCGCCCACCGCCACCCTCTTCGCTGGCCCCGGCGCCCTTCCCCGGGAGTGCGCCCCGCCGCTGAGGCTCGACGTGCCCCCAGAAGGGAAGTGCGTGCCACCCCACGCCCGGCCCGCGCTCTCCGCGCCCGCGCCTCGCCTAGGGGTCGGGGGGACACGCAGGTTGCCATTTTCCCCTCACCGGGCACCACCCGCCCTACTCACTCGAGTCCCCTCAGGAGGCCCCTCCAGGTACTCCGGAGGTGTTGGGAGGCACCTCCTGTACCTGGGCCGGCCCGAGGGGTACCGGGGCCGAGCCCTGAAGAGGGTCGATGTAGAGAAGCCCCAGTTACCCCCCAAGGCTCCCCTCGTCAGCCCTTCCTCCCAGCCGGCCGTCGCGAGCGGCAGCCATTTTAACTTTTAAAGGGATCCCGGCCTTGAATGGGGCCTAATACCGTCAGAGTCGCGGGCGTGGACGCCTCTCTGAGGACAGACCACCTCCCTCTTGCCCTCTTACGGACCTCCAGCCTTCCTGGACTCGGGAGAGTCTCCCAGGGAGAGTCTCCCGGGGCCCCTCCCAGGGCTCGGGCTTATTTATTTGACTGTCGTTCCCCCTGTCTGGAGAGAGGAGTGGGAGGTGAGAAGCCTGTCCCCTCAGTGAGCCAGCTTTTCGAGGGGACTCGGCAGACTCCCACTCCCCACTCCCTTCCAGCCAAGCTGCCTTAACTCGCCCCCTCGGGCTTCCACGGAGCGGGCCCAGGCGGGCCACATGGCGGACTGACCGGCCGGGGCCGAGCGCCGTGGACAGAGCTCTCGGGACTCCTGGGACGTCCCTCCTCCTACTGTGTAGGAGCCTCCGCTTCCCAATACAGCTGTGTCCCCGAACCACTGCCTGACTTGACTCGCAGAGCGGGAGGCAAGGGTCGGGAATGGCTCCGGGCATCTTTGCCCCTGAATCTCTGCCTTCATCTTGGACTTGAGCTCTCTCCCGAGTAATTGGGATGGCTAGAGTCCCACTGGGGTTAATCAGGAAAGGTTTCCTGAAGGAGGCAAGCGAAGAAATGGTGTGTGGAGATGAGCCAGGACCCAAGAGATCTATGGTAGAGTTTAGGGGAGGGCATCCAGCACATTTCTGGAAGAAAGTGAGGATTTCGCAATCTGTTCTAATAGAGAGAGAGAGAGAGAGAGAGAGAGTGTGTGTGTGTGTGTGTGTGAAATTTTAGGAGAAATAAAATGAAGCTGTAGTGTAAGAGACTAAAGTTGCACATCAAGAAATTTTGCCCGAAGGAGAATTTGGCTGGAAAAGTCCGGTTTGTACAAAGGATATGGGTACGGGTAAATTGCAGAAACAGCAAAAGGATTTGGTCCTGTGGACCGCAAGGGTTTACCCCGCAGTTCCCCAGGGAGCGTCTCCTCTGCTGGCGGGTGGGGGGTGTCAAGACCGCGTATTTACCGCACGCATGCGTGGTTCCCTCTCGCGGGGCCTCTGCTGGACTTGAGCCCCGCGGGCTAGGGATCAGCTGGCGTGTGGCAGTCGTGATGTTCTTAAGACACCGGCAGCAGCTGGCTGCAAATAGCTGTCCGTTACCGCGGGAACCAATGGGAGCGAAGAACGGGACCGCTTGCTCCGCCCACCACTCCTTGCGGTAAGGATACTGAAGGCTTCACGCAGGCGGCTGCTGTTGCTGCTTTTTCGAATTTACAAGTCAGGTTCTTATACCGGCGCGTGGCTGGGGCATCCTCCCACTTCTCGCCCTCGGCCACCTTCCCTCGCGCCGCCTGGAGTCCAGACCAAGTCCTGCAGTTAGAGAAGCCTTGCTAGTCCTCCCCATTGACTGCCTAAATATCCTAGGGGGTAAACTGCTGGGAAGAATTTAGTGAAGAACCCTGAGATTGTTTCGATCGCCACCTTTACTACTTGTGACTTGTTACAAGTCAAAACCCGGCTCAAACCTTCCATTTCTCATCTGAAAAATGAGATTGAAAGGCAATAAATGTGTGATAACACTTAGGAGAAAACTTCTAGATCATAATTCCTCTAAACTCAGCTTGAGCTATTCCTAATTTTGTTGCTTTTACTTAGCAAGCAAGACTTTCACTTTCATCGTTGTTCTATAGGTCTCAGTTTTTTATGCCCTCGGAACATTCACTACATCTCAGTTCGGTACTTTACCCAAATTTGGTGGTCTTCCAGTCTCTTTTCTTGGAATTTGTTTCATGGATGCCTTATTTAAACCAAAATATTTAGAGGCTATTGATAGTTGTCTAGATAGTAGAGAGGAGGGAAGGGGTGGAGAAGCTTTCTAATCACATGATTTCCTTCAAACTAAAGTGGTGGCGTGAAACATTTCTTAGTATTTAAAAGGCGTATTGCCATGGGAAAGTCTGCTGTTAGGGACCTCTCCAAAGTACTGAAGAGCAATGGTGTCTCTCTGGACACTAAGGTGCATTTGATACAGTCTTTGCTATCACTTGTTATGCATCTGAGAGTTGGACAATGGCCAAGGAGGACAGAAGGAGAATTGATGCCTTTGAGCTGTAGTGCTGGAGAAGAGTATTGAGAGTACCATGGACTGCTAGGAAAACAAACATTCATCCGGGAAAGGGTTAAACCAGGTGGCTCCTTAGAGGCAAGGACTCTGAGGCTCCATCTAACATACTTTGGACATGTTGTGAGGAGAGACCGGTCCTTGGAGAAGGACATCATGCTTGGGAGGGTGGAGGGACAGCGCAGGAGGGGAAGGCCTTCTGTGAGGTGGACTGATTCAGTGACAGGGATAATCGGGATGGGAGACAGCAGTGCAATTGGCACAGGAAAGAGCAGAGTTTAGGGCTGTTGTACATAGGGTCGCTATGAGTCGCAAGCGACTCAATGGCCCATAACAACAACAACATATGCTCTGTTGTTCTGTGCCATCAAGTTGACTACGACTCATAGTGATCCTATGAACAATAACTCTGAGTCCTACCCTATCCTGAGCCAAGCTTAATGTCTGACACAGCTGCCCACATTGTCAAAGTCGTTGTGTCAATCCATCTCATTCAGGTGGTAACTTTTCATAGTGAGAGATAAATCTCACAAATACAGTTCTTGCCCTAAAGCTGGCCAAGAGCAAAAAGCGTGAATGAATGAACTTCAGGTTTAAATGTAGACCCAGAAAGAAGGTTCATATAAATAATCTGTAACTGAATTTTGTGCAAGCAGCAGCAATTTATAGGTTAAAGTCCTGCTTGTTGTTAAAATGTGAAAAATGGTCATTTGATGGTATTTATGAAAGACACAGTCTAAGCTGGTCCTCAGGACCTTTAACAGGATTCCTGGAAACAACCGTGTTGCAGTGCGAGCTACAATACTTGAACTCGGCCACGCCACCTACTGGTTTGCAAGTATGACCTTGGGCAATTCAATGAACCTCTAGGAACCAGTGGCTTTCCTAAAGTATGGAAAGAAGATATGTAAAAAAGGACTTGTAAAACACTATAAGGGATATTTGGCTTAATGGAAATATTTTGTAGGAAAAATAGTATTTTTTCCAAAAATAGACCAAGAATGAATAGACCAGAATTCATACCAAGAGTGAAGTTAATAAATACTCACAAAATACATCTTCCTAACAGAGAACAGTGAAAAAGAAATTAAGGGGATGAGTTCAAAGAAATTACTGTAACAGGCAATAGAGAAGTAAACATGACCTTAATTAAGAAATCTTTTAGGTGCTGTTGATTTGATTCCCTCTCAAAGTTACTACCTGCAACAAAATGAAACACTCCCTAGCATTCTACTGTCCTCACAATTGTTGCAGTATTTCATTTGAGCCTATTGTTGCAGCACTGTGTCAATTCATCTCATTCAGAATTTACCTCATTTTACTCTATGCCCTTAGAAAAAGATATCATATTGGGAAAGGTGGAAGGTCAGAGAAAAAGAGGACAATCCTCAAGATGGATTGACACAGAGCGTGTTACATTGGGCTTGAGCATATGAGAGATTGTGAGGATGTGGTACAGGAGAGAGTAGGTTCAGCTCTGTTGGTGAGAGGGTGGCTAGGAGTTGTAGTCAGCTAGGACACCTAACAATAACAACTAAGTATAATGTTCCTCTCCAGGAACTGGTCTTTCCTGATAACATAGAAAAAAACATGTGAGACCAAGTCTCACCATCTCTTGCTTCTAAGGAGTATTTTGGCTGTATGGGACCAAGACAGATTTGTTTGTTCTTCTGGATTTACATGGTATATTTCATATTCATTACCACTTTTTTTCCAAGCACATCAATTATTGTCTTATTCATTATCTAGTTTTTGCATGCATGTGAAGCAACTGAGAATACAATGGCTTGAGTCAGGTGCACCTTAGCCTTCAAAGTGCCCTTTTGGTTTTTAAACATTTTTTTTAACTTTTCACTATAATTTGGTTTAAAGTTTGAGATTTTTTTAATGCTTTAAACAGGTCTTTTGCAGCAAATTTGCTCAATTAAATGCACAATTTAATTTCTATTGGGTCCAAGTAAAATGGAATCATTGACAACTTCAGTATTTTTTCCACTTTTATGATATTTCTTACTGGTCCAGTTGTGAGGATTTTATATATATATATAGGCTGCAGTCTGATTTTCATCAGTGAATGCTTCAAGTCCTCTTTACTTTCAGCAAGGAAGGTAGTGTTTTATCTGCATATAACATGCTCTTAATGAGTCTTTCTCTAATCATGATGCCAGGCTCTTATTCAAGTAGTCAGTCTTCTCAGATTATTTATTCAGATTTAGTGGAAGGATATAACCCTGATTTTATA